TGGCTCGGCCGCGCGGGGGAGGCCGCAGGCGGGAGGGTCCGCTGGGGGGAGCGGCCGCCCCCGCGTGGGCGCGGGCCGCGGGGCGCCTGGGCGCTCGGGGGCTCCCAGCCCCTCTGCACCGCGGTGGAGTTGAGGCGTCGCTCTGCAGATCTGGGGCAGAACCCCGAGATCCGGCCGAGCCCGGCGCTGGGAGGCGCCCCCTTCTGCAGGGGCTTTTCCTCTAGAAATACGCTGCGTGGAATGGCCGTGCCGCCCCCACCCCACAGGAGATCGTCCCCGGGGGCGTTCTTGGGAAGGCGTCCCTGCGCTCCTTCAGGATAGGAAACGGCTCGCCAGGTGTTGGGCCCGCTGTGAATAAAAGGGACGCGGCGAAGCCAGCGCGGTGCTTCGTTGCCTTGCGCTGCGTTTGTTGTGATGTCGCTTCTGCACCCGGCGAGCAGGGCCCGAAGGGAAGGCTGGGCCGGGGTGGGCGAGCCGGGGTGGCTGGGGGGCCCGCAGACCCCACCTCTCGAAAGGGAAGAAGCTGCTCTTCCAGAGAGGCTCCTCACGCAGCCGTTCACACGCTCGCCTGTATGACAAAACAGCATCGGCATTAACGTGCGTTTCTGCTGTCGTTTCATCGTCGCTGCGCTTGCCCTGGGCACGGGGTGGGGTGGGGTGGGGTGGGGTGGGGGGCGGTTGGCCCAGCCCTCATGCTGCCCACCGTCCGCGGGAGACGTTTTGCCGTGTTGTGTTGCGGCTTGTGGGCTGAGCGTCCAGCCCCTTGCAGGGTCTTAGAAAATGCCGCCTTCCCCGTAAACTCTTTTTGTTGCCCTGGATGGCAGTTTCCATCTTTGGTGCTGTCCAGGCAAAATAGAGGCCGAGGCACTTAGACTGGGACCTCTCCGCCTGGCTTGTGTGGTTGTGCGTTACCTGTTCAACACTGAAAGTCCGTGCAGCTGCTGGTAATGACACCTTACTGAGAAATAACATTTCCAGTTACTTGTTGCTGGGGTTATAGGGCACAGGGGGATGGATATTCCCATCATGCCCCAGTGGTGTGCATCCCTGGGGCATCCGATCAGCCACTGTCCACTGGCAGAATACGGAGCAGGGAGAGTATAGATTGAGCTTCGCAGAGCAAAGTTCAGGAGCAGGATTCCACACATTCCATGAAATATCAGCGCTGGAAGATGGCTCTTCGGTGCTTCACCTTCTCGAACTCTTTTTCTGGCCTGGAGGAGTGTCTGGAATGGGTCGTGCTGTTGTTGCATTATGGGCTCGGGCACCTAAAAGCTTCCGATGCCAGATTTGCAGAGCTGTTTGGGGACAGAAGCTTCATTGCAGCAAAAATAAGGGGGTGGCCCTCACTGGAGAATTTCATTGCCCTTTTAAGGGGCCGCCCCAGGCGGCTGACCTGCCTTTGGGTTCAGCCATGATCTGGAGAATGGAAGCAATTTCTCCAGCCTGTGTATCTCGGTCTCGGTGCTGCTTTCCTCAAAGCCGGAGGCTGTGCAGAGGCCGTGCTGTGAGCCTCGAGCCTGGGTCTGTTGTTTTGGCTACCGCGCTTGGTGGCAGAGAATGGCTTCTGGGTGCAAGCGTTTAAAAAAATGTTTTCTGAATTTAAACTTTACATGTAACGAAGATTTTACGAAATTTTCCATTTATAAACCATGTCGATAGCCTTCTCCAACATGACAGCCCCGCAGAGGGCTTGCACTTCAACTCCCAGACTGCCCCAGCCAGCAGCTGAGGGATTCTGGGAGTTGCAGTCCACCGCCTCTGCAGGGCCCCTGTTTGTGGAAGGCTGGGACTGTGGAAGGCACTGGGGTGGGCACAGCACCCGCTCCGAGGCGTAGCTTCGGGCGATGTCATGGAGCCCCTGCTTCCTATTTTCTTTGTTAGCGCTGGTGTCCGTGGAGGTGGGGGGCGCGTCCTGCCCCTGCAGCCAGGCATCCGGAAAGGGAGCTACGGGACCCCCAGCGCAACCTTCCCTGGCCCCCCAGGACTTCTCCAGCCGCTGGAGTCTGGGGGTCGCCGGCGTCTTTCTCCATCTCCCTGCCCCCCCGTCCCCCAGCTGCGGCCTCCGTCGCCGGCTCGGCCGGTGTGAGCGGCTGGCGCTATATTTAGTTCTTCCAAATTTTATGTGGGTCAGATAGCGCTTTCTCTCGCCTCCTACACCCCGGTAATGTCTGGAAGCCCCTTCCCTCTGCCCGGCTGGCTCGGGAGGGTCCTGGGGTAGCAAAAGAATCTGGGGGTCCCTTGCCCGCTCCCCCTCCCCCGCTGCCCGTCCCCCACTAACAGCATCTCAGTGGTGATTAATTCTGCGAACACAGAGGGGCCGCCTCTCCCGGGCCTGCTCCGTAATCCTTCGTGAGCAGCCGGATTTGCAGCCGGAGGGCCGTGCTGAGGAGCGGTGGGGGGGCAGTGGGCTCGGCGCCTCGTCACGCCATCACCCCCAAAGCAGCCTGCCCCCCCTCCCCGTGCAGGCCGATTTCGCCTCTGGCCTGGTTGCTGAGCCTTTCCCTTAATCCCAGGTGCATAAAAGCGGGCTGCCGTTCCTCAGTGCTTAGAAAGGAGCAGTTCGCACATGCCCAGGGGACACGCTGACCGCGTTGCAGGATGGGGCCACCCCTCCCGCCATCTACTCGCAAACGTGAGGTCAGGGCTACTGTTTCTGCTGCTCGTTTTGTTTGCATCTGTGCAAATTCAGAAGAATCGACTCGCTCCGTTCACTGTGCCATTTTTCTCTTCCTTTAATTTATGTGCATTATTTAATGATGGAATTTTTCGGACCTCTCCAGGGCTTCTTAAATGCAGAGCTTGCTCTT